TTACTACGGTGGAAGGATTGGTTTAATCTAGACTTTCGATGAGTTGAAAAGGATTCTGTTATTTAGATTTTTTGTTTTGTTTTATTGTATAGCTATTGTATTATTGTATTTTATTAAATTATTTAGCATAAAGGATTCCAATTCTCTTTAATTGTAATGCTTGTCCTCTAATAATCACCTTTTAATCATATTTCTTGTGTTTCGCTGCATCTCCATTCCACTGAAATGTTGGACGTGAAGTTCGATGTAGATGAAGAAATAGGAGAGGGTATACAAAAGGAGTTGCTTTAGAAATTATAAACTTAGCCTAGCGTCATTCCTAAGTGGAATCTATTGTTACCTGGTGAGTGGTTAGTTTGAGAAGTGGATTTATTATCTAACTTCACTTTAAGACACGGTTTGACATAATCTGGGTTGGGAGGATCAGGGGTGTCATTACTATTATGTTAACTGTGAAGCATCCTCACTAGCAATCTTTTAGAGACTCAACTGAAACGAAAATAACTGAATCAGCGGCTACTAGTGTTGTTAAAGAATTGTTTCTCGATTTAATTGTGTACAATAAATAATATTAAAAAGTAACGAAAATGTAATTTATTGTAGATATACAAAAATACGAAATATTTAAACCTAATTAATTACTTATAGAATTCAACCAATAATCAGTAATTTCCCTTTCTTACATAACGTTACAACTAGCGTAGAACTTAGCGTTACTTCCTGGTCTCCACCACCAACCCCAGTTGTCTCTTGCAGCATCGTCAGTTTTAGATTGAGTTTTTGAGTTTTTGTTTTGAGCAGCCATTGTAATAATAGTTTGTTTGTTGATGAGAAGAAAGAAAGAAAAAGTTTAAATCATTTGAAGAAAGAGATTTGAAGTCATATTTATAGTTGTTTGGAATGAGTTTGAGGATGGATAATTTGTGGTTATCGCTCAGTGTTGAAACAAAAAGCAACTATATAGAGCCAACAGACACCTTCCTAAATAGGTTAAAATCTCTCTCTATGACACTGAAACATGTAAAGAAACACGTCAAGATAACATGTGTTCCAGCTTCTTTTGATGTGTAGTAGTTTCATGAAACCTTCCAAATATGGATTTGACAATGGCTGCAAAAAAAAAATATTGTGTTAAAAATTAACTCTCAATTTAATCGCTCATAAACTTGTCGGAATTTTATGAATGAAACCCAAAAAGAAATCTACAACCTCACGACCTTCTTTCTGATGTGTGCGTATATCTAGCATGTGTTAATTGAATAAACTGGTCAGTTCAGGTTGCAATAAATGTTTGTTAGCTTTGCAAATCATGCCATTTGGAAAACTCGCCAAGCTGAGGAACACATGAATATCCCAAGTAACATCAGCTTTATTTCCATGGCTAGTAGAAAATGTTTACTAAATGTAGATCATTGGCTGACGATTTCTTTTTCAAAGGAGATATTTGTTTCAAAAATATTCTTGCATGTTTCAAGATCAGCGTACCTCCAGATGAGCAATAGGAGAAAATGCTGACTTGGCGTTGATGGATGAAATTTTGAACTTACTTGCAATTTCTCGGAGGATTGAGCCCCTGGAAGGAGGATACTCACAACAGATGAAACACTCTGGGATCAATGGAATACGAACGGGGAATTGAATGAGAGATAGAGCTTTAGTTTGTTGACTGCAGCATTCAGAAGAAGGGATTGTTAATGGTCAATTGCCACAGTAGGGGCGTTCCAAAGCCAATTGAAGTGGAACGCAGAACGTGATGAATGCAAACTATGACGTTCCCAAGCGAAAGAGCCAGAGACTTTGAAATTATTCAGTTGAAACGCAGGTCCATTGTAATTTCTAAGAATCTGTATCTGTCCATCTAGTCCTTGTAGATTTATCAATAGCTAACAATTCATTTTCAGAATTATAAGTATTTAAATCATCAAGAGTCATTGGATAATACTTAGCTATAAATATGTGTTTCTGGTTGTACTAATGAGAAATGGTTTGTTTCGCTTTGTTTACAAAAATAGATCATCGTATTAAAATATGCTTTCTCTGGTACGACTCTGGTACTGAAAAAAAAAAGTCTTTAGAGCGAACCAAATTTTGACTCTCTCAATTGAACAGTCTATCCATTCATACGACACATACAAAATATGATACGACCTATTGTCAGAAGAAGCATACGGTTGTATTCCACTGCAACTAACTCGCTGTCAGTAGAAGTGCCATCAGACATAACATCCCGTCCTTCACTACTTTCAATTCTTCCATCGAAAAGAACAATCAATCGAATCTTATTCGATAATGATGCCAGATTACCTTATAAAAAGATGATGCCTGTCTTATCTACAATCTATGATAATTTGGACACTCCTAGTGAAATAAAGTTTCCTAAATATGTGAAGCCTAGTGATTTAATGACCTTTAAGAGTGTACTTGGATCAATTCGAGTGATGACACATAGTATGAATCGAAATTTAGTTAGGTTAGAAAATGAATTAGTTGAACAAGCTGCTGAATTGGGTGATAATGATGCAATTACTATACTTGCATTCGAAACAGTTAGGAAGAAAGTAAAAGGACAAGAGGTTACCAAGGAAGATTATCAATACGCTAATGATTTAATTAAACAATTGACTGACTTGAAACATCCATTGGTATTTAAGATGGGTGGAGATTTGGCATTTGAAATGAATGTACATGAGAAAGCTAAAGAGTATTGGTTAGATTTTATAAAATTACAACCAGATACCATAATGGCAAGTCATGTTTATTGTAACCTTGGGATGTATTACTTTAGTTATGGAGAACATCCAGATTTAAAACAAGCTAAATTATATTTTGAAAAATCTATTAGATTTGGGGAGATTGATAAATATACCATTAAAGCTCATTATTATTTAGGACAATTATATGCTGAAGTTGATCCAAGAGTTTCCAAATATCATTGGGAAGTTTCTGCATCACAGGGACTTAAAGAATCATTTCAAAGTTTAGGGTTTTTAGAAATGAATATATTTGAGAATTTTGAAAAAGCCTTGGAATGGTTTAAATTGGGAGTAGAGGCATCTAATGATGTCGCTTGTTTAATTGGACAATTTGATGTTTATTTCAAAATGAAGAAATATCAACAAGGGTTTGATATTTTAGATAAACTTGAAACTTTGCAAGAACAATTCAATAAAGCTAAGTTAAGAGGTGATATACCTGATGATATGAAGAGTGTAATGGAATTGAATAAATCATTATTAGAAACATTTTTTAATACAAGAACCGATGATATCAAACTTTTGACGTCAAGACTCGGTTAAAGATGTCTGTAAATAGTTGTTCTCTAATGAAATAATGTATATAAATACAATTTATATGAAAGAATATGGATTTTTAGTATAATCCTGACCATCTTCAATCATAACATGAAGATGCTTAGGATCTGTATAGTCATGTGACGGGATGTCGTATCATGAGTCTAGATTTGATTTTCGGAGAAATCAGTCAACGATGAGAAAAATTCTCGGAATAATTACCGTAGATTTCCAGAAAAACATCTATAAATAATTGATTTTACGACAGGTTACGCCTTTCAAATTAACACCATAGCCTTTATCTTACATTATATAAATAAATAGAGATACGCTCTTGTAGTTCTATTTACTATCAACTATTCATGACAACTTATAGATAGAAACAGCAGAGATAAACTAGAACTTTCAAGATGACGTCACACTACCAGTTCATCAAAGAGACAGTGCTCCCACCCAATGATCCAAAATCACCATTTTATCATAATCTACCATCATTTGAAACTAAACCAATCGATGAGTTGGTTGATTTCTTTAAGTATTGGAAACTGTTTATTAAATCATTAATTTATTATTTAAAAGAAATTGCAATAGTTAAAGAATATGAATCAAATTTACATTTTCAATTAATTTCAAGTGTTTCATTTCCTGGTTGTAAAGATTTACCAAATAAAATCATTCAAGATATTCTAACAACACCCTCCGCTAGTAATACTACTCCTACTAAAGAACTACGTAAGAATCTATCCAATACTAGTTTAAACAATGAAGATAGTCTGGATAGTTCTTCTTCAATAGCAATTTCTCCTCCAGTTGGTGCTGGTGCTGATAAGAGACCACAATTATCCAAATCAAAGTCAGCTACTTCGGCAATTTTCTTGAAGAATATGGCTCAAACTCATAAGAGAGCTAGTTCAAGTGTATCTTTAAAACTGGGACTTTCTCCTCCACCTGCAGTGGCCATGGCAACTTCGGCATCAAGTATAAACTTGGTAAACACTACTGAAATTAATACCAATGATATTCAACTTCCTACAAATTTCTTCCCACCGAATTCAATGTATACCAATCTTCCAGCATTATTGTTAAGTCATCATCAAGACTCGTTTTTAAAGAATCATAAGTTATATCGTGACTTGAATAACAAGTTAATCCCAAGATTGGAAACTTTATTGAAACAATTATCATCGAAAATCAAAGAAATAAAGCACTCATTAACAAATGAATCCTTTGCAAATACAGACTTATCCAAAGAAATTTCAAACACTGGACAAATCCTAACTAAATATTGTAATTCTGTTGAATTATATAACGCCAAGAATCCAGTTATGAAGGGAAAACTCATCGAAGATGAAGCAAATGTAGATGACGAAGAAGCAATTAATGTCATGGGGTTGGATGATCCATTATTGATAAAATTACGTGTGGATTACCAGATCAAGAATCAATTATTAATTGAAAATTATATGTTTGCATCATATATGAACCTTCAAACGATTTCACGGGACTTATTTACGTATGTTATAAAAGAATTAAATTGGGTAGTGGATAAGTTTGGTAAATTACAGTTAAATCTGGAATACTATCAATTTTTAAAAGATAAAATATCGAATTCTTCAACTAATGATTGGGAATATTTCATTATGAATGATCCAAATTTCATCAATAACATCAGACCCAATGATGTTAATCCAAAACGAGAAATAAGGAATTTCAAAACTATCACATTGCCTTATGCAAATTCAATTCAGAATAAATGTATTAGATTCGGATTAATCTACAAAAAATCAAGATTATTAAAGAATTACACTAGACATTATTACGTATTATCATGTAATTACCTTCATGAATTCAAATGCGATGATGATGATGTGTTATCAGCAACTACCAAAAAGTCACAAGAAAAGATAGGAGGATTCATTGGTCCTGATATGACTCCAATCAATTCCTACAATTTAAATGAGTATTTCATCATATCCAAACAAGATGCTTCATCATCACATAAATTCACATTAGTTAAAACCGATAATCCATTAAAGAAAATCAAATTCAAATGTTTAACCCAAAGCGAGTTCGACCAATGGTATGCTGATCTAACCGAATTATTAAAGTTCGGAAATAATCACCATGCAAGATTTGCATTCCTCCAGAAACAACATCAACAACGTCTTCAACCCCAGAAATCCCCTGCTCCAACTGTAGCAGGATCTCGCGATAGTTTGACTGTAAACCATAATGAAGAGTCTAAATTATTGGGAATGTTTACACCCCGGATTCAGACACCAATAGGAGAACATCATGACATGAACCCATTCGAACATTCATTTGGAACTAGTGATCTCACACTGAGTCCCGAGACCGGGAATGTTTCCTCGGGACATTCGTCCCCAGAAGCTACGTCACAGGAAAATAAAGACAATAGTAATAATAGTCTAATTTCTCAACAGCATCAACATTATCTCAAACTTCAACAAGCATTGTTGAAACAGCAACATGTCAGTTTTAGAAATGATTCAATCGATCGTGCTATTTCCGGGAGTGAGCAGAGAGAAGAAGGAAGAAATGAAGAGGTGTTGGACACTCCATTTGTGAGTCCAGGGAGGGTGGGTAATGATATGAGAGGGAAAGACAATCCAATGTTTAATTTAGGAAATGATTCTGGATATATGTCCAGTAGTACTCCACCACCTGATGCTTCTCCTGCCGCTGTTGCTACCGCTGATTCGCCTGCAGCACAGTCTCAAGTCCCGGTGGTATTTGTCAGCTCAGACCACTAAGTATATAGATTAATTAGTTTATAGAGAATATTATAGAAAGAATCTTATAGCCATGATTAATCAAGATTGTTCTTCAACCAGATGGCCTATGATAATATTAATATATGTCTGCCTATATGCAGTATGTTTAAAGGGGGTTACCCTACCTAGGATGAACTTTTTTTAGGTTATCACTGATTTTTGAGTTTAGTTACACGACCATAGTTAAAACACTTTCTTTCTCATTTTCACCACCACCAAAAAAATTTCTCAAGAGGGCAGAAGCAGAAAAGAAGAAGTGAAAAAAAATTTTCATCTTTCTAATTTGGTATTAAGAACTAGAACTTATACACATAGCAAACTAAATCAAAATGGAAGCTAAATCTCAAGTTACATTAGCCAAGGTTATCAAGGTCTTAGGTAGAACCGGTTCAAGAGGTGGTGTCACCCAAGTCAGAGTTGAATTCATTGACGATGCTACCAGAACCATTGTCAGAAATGTTAAAGGTCCAGTTAGAGAAAATGACATTTTATGTTTAATGGAATCCGAAAGAGAAGCCAGAAGATTACGTTAAGGAAGTTGGTTATTGATCCTACCCACCCCCATATATGTTCTTGGTCTTTTTTTGTAATTATTGTATAATAGGATTTTGATTTAATACACAACATGCATTTACACGTCATGCAAGATTAATATATCAAACTAATATATCAGAGAGAATAAGAGATAATACAATAATGATATTGTTCTTACTGTAGTATAAGATAGGGGATTTTTCATAATTTCTATTAAAAAAGGGAATACAAATAGATGAACAAATTCGTAAAAAATCATAACTATTTTTGAAGTGACTATATGCTTTTAAGGGAAATACAAACAACTCTGTCTGTCACCAGATCAAAATCTAATTTACCATAGTTAAGTTCTTTGAGCCGCTAATATCTCGACTTAATTTCGTAGCTTTGACCGTAGAAGTAGTTGTGGCGGTGTCCACATTACCAGAACCTGCAGCAGTAGCTGGGTTATTTCCTCTATAAAATGAATTATATTTCCAAAGACTAAACTGTATCAAACTCTCAAATGCAACAGTATCATGACGATATAGATTTGCTGCATCTATATTTAATGGAGAATCAGGTTCTGGAGAATCCAATAACATTAAAATTGCAGTAATCAAATATTGTAAATTCCAAGCAGGTGACCAAGATTCTTTCTTTAAAATATCTAAACATATTTCTCCCGTAGTTGCATTAATATTTGGATGAATAATTGGCGTGATGAATTTAATAACTGGTGGTTCCATTGGATATTGAGGACTCACGGTTATACTTAAATCCCACTGTCCTCCATAGTAATATTCATTAGCAGCTTTATCTGGCTTGGCTATTGTCGAATGCCATACAAATATATTTTCTTCATTTACTGGTGCTAATGAGATGATTTGTGGATTGGATAAACTTGGCGGAGTTTTTTTGCATTGCTTATATTCTTTAAATAATCTTCTTTCAGCCATGATGTTTTTTTGCTATGTAATATTTGTTATATGTTGGGGGATGTATTTGGTAATAGATAGCAAAAAGGAAACTAGCAATTAAGTGAGTATATATAAGTAAAGTTCTATAAAGGAAGACGTGGAGAAACAACCAAACTAATCGTGTCGAAGCAGAGTTAAAAATAGGAATCACATGAAGGTCTTGTAAATTCCCCCACCTCCGCAACTGTCATCAATTTTTTTTTTTCGACGGCTATTGCTGTAACACTACCGAAGATTCCAACCGAAAAAATACAATGTTACATTTTCTTCCTCAGATTATATACAAGCTTTTTGTTATCGTAATTCTAAACTCAAACTTTGAAACTTTTTCTGAACACCATCCCCCTCCTCTGCTTTAACTGGTTTCAGATATTTACTACACACAGTGAAACTTGGTGAATCTCAAGAGTTGTCCCTACCTATGTGAATATACCTTGGGCCCAAGGTTTGTATTTTGAACAGCAATTGTCTTGGAGCCAGACGTATTGTTATTGTTGTAGGTTCAAATTCAACAGGCAATCTTCTGGTGTAAAGGCGTTTACTTCTCTCCCTTATTTCGAAGAGACTCATCAACGAATGTACTATCTTACCGTATTGGCTTTAATAAACGTTAAACTAATATTTAGATAATGAAATGAATACTGCATTTTCATGCCAAACCCCAACCAATAACATATGGTAGCAAAATTGTACAAGACCCCCAACTAATTTAAGCATTAACCTAGATGAACCAAGCATTCTTGCATTAAAAAATCATATTGGAACATCTTTAGCTTCCAAAGATGTTAGCAGCCCAAACCAAAATAAAAATGCAACTTCTGATCACAACAACTGGCAACAGTATACATTAATTATTCTAATCACTCTTGACTTTTTACTATCAAAATGATTATTATTGATGTTTCCCTTCTGATCATTCGCTCTTGGAATACTCCCTGGTTGAACAAACAGGTTCAATGGAGTGTAAATTAGACTAGCTCTCTTTTACTATTATGCGTGGTAGCGCATCTTGCTGAAAAGCTGCAAAAAGAATGGGTGCAATTTTTGGAACACAAACAAACATTTAAGAGTATAAATATCGCTGAAATGATTTAGAAAATTTTAAATCCATTTGTGTTTTCTTCTTTCTCTTCTTCTTCTTTTTCTTTAATTAACTACTACAATCATTCACATATCAATCAAAAGACAACACAATGGTACGTATATTTACATTCAATCAAGTTCTATAGGAGATTGCTGGTATCTTGTTGAAGATATTCTGAGTTATTGAAGATGTTCTGAGGACACAATTGGTACACAATAAACTATATGACTTTTCATTCTTGAGACAGAACAGATACTTGGTGATCATGCTAACATAAGGCAAAGAGATCTAGCCTGAAGCTAGGAAGGGAGGCCACTTACGAAGCCAAAATTATATCCCTTCAGATGGGTATCACAATTTGGTACCTGTCTAAGTGTTGGTTAATACCTGGTCAATATCATTGCAAATACTGATGTCTGAGGTGACACATGATATTTCTTTGAATTGGCTGGGGGGTTAAGGAAGTGTCATAGGTACAAGGTGGCTGACTACCATCATACCATGTAACATGACTTCATTTTGTGAAAAGAGGGGTCTAACAAGACTCAGTTATCCTTTTCGGCAATTTAGCATGTTGAGTTGTTTTCAATGCTGAGAATCAATTGTAACAACTTTTGCCTCTTACAAAATTGAAACTCTCCATTTCCACCCGTCAAAATTTACCGATCCTGCATATAAGTATTTTGCTCTTTAACACCCAATGGTCAGTTTAAAGTAGCTCAAATTAGTATTGAATTGTAGCTATCGGATGTAGCCATGCGCTAGTGGAATTAGATTGGCGATGTGAATAAAATTGGTTGTGTAATAAGCAAAAGTTTTGTTGGTCGAAGTTCACTTATAAATGGGAAAATTGGAGGGTTGGATGTTGAGAGTGACAATCTAGATTAGGAGGAGCCTGCTATTAACTGTCAATGGCTTGGAAGTCCTCTCCATGGGGATGTACCGGTGCATTTGAGTGGAATTCATGACAAAGATTTTGTAAGATACTAGCCACCTGTTCAAAATCTGGGAAAGTTAGAAGAACCTTTACAATATGGGAAATTAATTCTATTTGAAATGATACATTAAATTCTCTATTCAATACATAGACATATATGACGGTTAAGATGAATTAAAAAAAGAATAAATAAATACAATGTTTTTACTAAAACGAATGACAATCAATAAATAATAAATCTAGAAATGAAATAACCTCTCCTTTTTTTAACTTATACAGACAGAGTTTCTCTATTTGCCTCTCTGGTGTTTCTCTACGGATAATTGCCTCCAAAATCAATAAAACTGTCTACTCCAGTCTCATTACTACCCAGATGTGACGTTCCACCAGCACCAACAACAGTCCCGTTTGCACTCTCTCCTAGTCCACCAAACTCACCCAACCCAAGATGGAAATCATCGTTGGTAACAAGATCATTATTTCCAGAATATGTCTGGTGAGTATATGCATGATTATTTCCCATATGATTCATTGACGGACTATTTAAAGAATCATTATCGTTCGTATTCATAAATAATCCAGCTGCAGCGGCGGAAGGAGTCTGACCCGAGGTAACTGAGTATTCATTATGGGCGCCATCACTTAACGTACTGAAAATATCTGGCGTTGGGGCTGAGTTGCGCATTAGTTGTTGTTGTTGTGGATTGGTATCTGTGAGGTTGTCAAATGGGCCAGTAGTTGCGCGTAGTTGAGTCGAGGATGGAGGTGATGTGGCTTCAGAAGGGTAATGGTGAGGGTTGGAGTGAATGGAGAATGGCGAATTGTCTCCTCCGTTTGTATTGTTGGAAGAAGCAGTTGCGGGGTTGGCTGTGTTACGGTTGGCATTGTTGTTATTGTCATTATTGTTGTTGTTGATATTGTTACTATTATAATAGGATGGACCTGTGTTTATTGGGTATAGTCCTTGATTTTGAGATGTTGCGTCGGGCTTTTCGTTCCATATCAACTCATCTTGATACTCGTATTTGGCTTTAGCGGGGTCTTGTATACGTTCATTAGCTTGACCGACAATTTGTTGTCCCGATTGACCTGGTACAGATATAGGTGCAGGTGGTGAAACTACCTTAGTATAAACCTGATTATTTTCCAATATAAACAGATTAAGATATTGTAATGAACTCTTTGGACCCACTAGCACATGAGGAATTGTTGTGCTTACGTCCTCCTGTATATATGCCTGACTAACTTGTTGACCTTCACTAAAATCGTCACAGATAGACCATTGATTTGAATTTGAGTTTATTCCATCAAAGAAATATACTGAAAATTTTGGTTGATGCATTAATGTTAATCTTAGTTCATTATTTTCTTTATTTATATTATTGTCTAATAATGAACATGTTGAGATCGAATTGATAGGATAAAAGATCCTAAATAGAATCTTTGAATTGTTTGAAATGGCCAGGAAGAAGTAATTGATTTCAAAATTCTTTTTTGATAATAAAACCAACAAATCAACATTATGCATTAAAGAATTTAATGTAAATGGAGATAAATTTAAAAGATTGTTCTTCAAAACACTTTCATCATGATATCCTGTTCTTAATCTTTGCCATGACCCAACCGAAAGTGAAGAACAGTCAATAAAGCAATATTTATCATTTACCTCAATTGGGATCGACTGGGATATTCTAAAACTACCGAAATCCCCCGAGCCAATACTTGAATATCGATTATAACTTGAACGCAGTGATAAACTAGATGGAGGTTGAGGAATGCTACCATTACTTCCTTGTTTCAGTAATCGTTCAAACTTTCTAATTTTAGCTCTTCTATTTTGAAACCAGATCCGGACAGCCTTTTCATTCATCCCGGCGCGATCACTAATAAATTTTCTTTGCTCAGGGTTTGGGTTTGGGTTTCTTTGGAATTCAGTAATCAAGAAATCTAGCACTTCACCAGAAGCTCTTGTTCGTTTTGAATCTGTACTTGACATTGTGTGATAAATTTGTAATAATAATAATAAAATCTAGACCCTTAAGTTATGACAGCACGGGCACGGCTAGTTTTATATGCAAGGAGTAAATATTGGAAACAAAAAAATATGTAATTAGTATGCGAATTGTTAAATGATAATTAACTTAGTAAACAAAAGGTGGTGGGAGGAAGGGGGGGTCGTTTGTGGAAAAACTTGAAAGGAGGGATATGTGGTCACTCTTATACTTGAATACCTCTTATTTCTGAGAAAGGCGACTTTTCCTTCTTTATATGCTTGATGGGATAGTTTGCTTTTATTATAAAAAAAATAATAAAATGGAATGCTTTTTTTTTTGCAAAGAAAATCTTTTGATGATTTTTTTTATTTTCTTTGGTTTTAAAATAAAAAATAAATTTTTTTTGGAGGAAAAAGGGAAAAAATTTAATTATTTTTTAAATTTCTTTTTTTTTTGGGATTATTTTTTTGGCCTGCCTTTCGTCTGAACTTTCTCCTGTGACTCTGGCAATAATCACCGGGAATGTTTTGGGGGAAGCGAGATGGAATGTAACGCAGAATGTAATGCAACTACTGCGGATAAACAAAACCTTGAAATGAAATCCTGCTGTATCTTCTTGTGATCGAATCAGGATCTTGAATCTATTCCAATTGACCAGTTTATGAATGATTTCGTCCGGAGATAACTAAATTATAATCCGAGAATAATATGGTCGTTCCTTTTGTTGAAATTTTTTTTTACAGGAACAGCCTCTATTTTCTATTTACAGAACTTGGATGGGTTGACGTTTATCTGAATTGTCGTGACGCTGCCGCTGTTTTCGTATATGCGACTTATGAAAAAGAAGATGACTTATTATGACACGTTCTGTTGTTGTGGCGTATATGATGTTCAAAAATAAAACTAGCCTTAAACTTGAACAGATCTTCCCGTACAAACTACTTTGATTGTGAAAATTGTTGTTGCAATGAAGTTATCTTAAGATTCTGGGTTGTGACTCTCAACAGTGAGATGATTTCCAGCAATCTTTATAACCCTTTAACAATTATTTTCTTGGATAAAGGTTTATGCAGAAAAAAATAAAAAATAAAGAACTTTAAAATATTTACCAAATCTAAAATCTAAAAAGACCTTCCTCTGGAATATTTACTTTAGAGGGTTTTTTTTTCAACTTTTCTTTTTCAAGGCCTGAAGATAAGATTGTGAAATTAAAAGTTTTTTTATAGCTTAGATCCAATAGTAATAGATTGTCGGTCTATTTGTCTCGAGGCTCATTCTTAATGGGGATTTATTTAGAAAAGACAATATAAACTGGTTTAGATCGACTGCCAAAAACTGTAAAAGGCGCTTTACAAAACGACATTTTTTTGGCTTTGAGTTATATCCCCGGTAAAAAATATATTATTTTATTATAGGAACAATTGGTGTCTAAATGACAGTTTAAAAATATTTAAGAATTCGTACCTTTATCTCGTAGGCGGGATTCTGGAAGAGCGTTGCCTCTCAAAATAATATTAAAAGATGAGATGATATTGGATGACGGAAGAGTATCTGAAACTCGGTGGAGTTTCTTTTGCAAATACCGAATGGAATTTTCTGACCTGGAAACATTACTCTTATGTGGTTATCTGATAGCTTAATGTGTCATACGGATCGACATTGCCCATGAAAATACGTCACTTTGTGTTGCAGACCAATCGATTGTTCTCCTTACAACGCAACACTTACACAATAATATGCCACTATATTGAGGCATTAGAGGACTTTGTGACTTACTTACAGGTTGCAAAAAGTGATTTCATAAGAGACAGTTTCGCTTTTTCTTGATCTTTTATTCCACAAAATCACGAAAGTTCAGTTTATCCGATCGAAACTTTTAGATTTTTTTCTTAGGGACGGGGGTTATCAGTCAGATCGCCGTGGAATTACAGGCTTGAATCCCGAAATAGAGCCTTTTCTCCTGCTGTCAAACGCAAAGGAAATGTGCCATTCTCTTTTTTACAATTTTGCTCCTTTCTATCTGTGAGTTTTCATGTGCAGAGTTTCCTCGGATTTTCCTCTTTTGTTGAGTATTCTAATTTGGTAATTGATTTAAAAATAACAAAAGAGTATTGTTCTTAGAAGGCCAAAAGACAATCATTCTGTCAAAAGATTTTCATAGATTTAGTATCTCAACACTATGTTACCTGCTTATCGAAATACATTGTTCAAAGTTTGAGCCTGGTTTGATTGTGAAAATTTTCTTCACAGAATGAAAAACCCCTTTTGAAGAAATAGCCGGGCCTATACCGGCAAATGGCTATCCCCCTCGCTAGAAGAAACTACAAAGAAGAGACATAAAGACAAAGGATATAGTTGCCTTTTTGGGAACAATGATACCGAGTTGCAACGGATCGACAACCGTAGATCTTTATCCAATGAAATTCATCTAGAACAAAATTCCTCGAAAAATTTTTTTTTTTGCCAAATCTGTTCGGATAACTGGAATAGTTTTCCAGGATGAAAAATCTGAATAGTTTTTCACCTACCATAAAATAAAATAAAATCTCAGAAGTATAAGGCATCAAACGCGGGGGAGAATATCCGCGCCCTACGTAGCTGCTTGACTCATTTTTTGCCTTACGTAATTGATAACTGGGTCGGTTAAATCGATTTGTCCTATCTTGATATCTAAAGTTTTGTGGCGAAAGGCTTTGTATTTCCGTATCACAACAAAGCGTATTTAAGGAAGAATCTTTCTTTTTTGCGTTCGTATTCATGTAGGTTTGGTTGTTGAAATACGATTCATTCCCAATTTATGTCCCCTTTTTGCGGAGAATTGGAAACATTTATCCCTCAGGTAATAGCGACGAGAAAGGACAGTAGAAGACAGTCGAAATATTAAGTCTGGTTCTTTTATTAGATCTTATTCAAACAACTAGTTTCTGGAGCACATACTGTCAAGAGTAGAAGAACTGGCTGAAATTTTACCGTCTTTAGATATGTCTAATGTGTGAAATATTTTTATCAACAAGCCACAAAACGGCTCTAAAATATTATTTTTTAACGCATCATGGCTTATTTTATAAAAGAAAAAAAAACCAAAACAAACGGAAATTCGGATAAAAAAAAGGACGACATTAAGGATTTTTTCCAAGAGTCAACTCACGTGGCATTACGTGAACTCATGCAACTAACGGTAAAGACCTGTCCACGACTACCCCCAGATCAGCCCTTAGTCACAGTTGAGATTGACGTGTTTGGATAGCCGAATCGAGTTATCGCTTAGATTTGATTTGCTTTTTAGGCTCGAGAGGGGAACGAGTTTATTTGTGAGCGTTTTTCTTTTTGGTGGATTGCAGCAACTGACATTAGGATCGACAAAAACCTACTGAACGATTGACTGTCGCATATGACTACTACCGAGACTACTCCGGAATTAGCCTTGTTTCAACTGTCTTTCTTTCGTCTTTTGATCCAATAGCAGTAGCGATGAGTTGGGTTTCTATTTTAAAAATATTCCCATTTTTTGGCAATTTTTTTGGTGGAACTATTTACATCGCCTTTGCTCTAATTGTGTGAGTAGTCACAAGAAATATATCAGTATAAACCAAATAGATATTGTGCCATACTCTGCATAGCCTCTTGTCATCTCCAAATGTCAGACGATTATAGACAAGATTTTCAGAATATGATTCTGAAATATTTACAAACATAAAGAACTCGATATAGAAATTTTTAGTCAAATTTGCAGATTAATGCATGGAAAGTCTTAAATCATAACCCTTCAAGCCATTCTAAAAAATTCTTATGAATCAGACCATAGCCGTTGCCATCTCAATAAAAACTTCTTATCGCTAAATAAAATAACTCATAATTCCTCTAACTAACCTATTAACTCTATACCCTTTAATTACACACACTATCACAAAAATAAATCCTCAATTTCAAAATCATTCAAAACGTCTAAACAATATTTTATATCTTTCCATTGTTTCGGAGTAGGTTGCCAAGCTTTAAACCGGAACAATAACTCTTCAATCAATTTCACACTTCCGATATGTTTAATCTGCACCAAATCCTGGAACAAACTCCTGATATTCCAAGGTAATAAACTATGAAAACTGGCACTATCCAATGGTTTTAAAATATTTATGGATAATTCTTGAGAATGGATCAAATCAGTGGTTTCTAAACAATACTGAATTGATTCCATATATACTTGTTCATCATCAAATAGTTTACAATGTCCTTTTGGAGTTCCCTCGAGATTGAATTTATCACTTAATTCTCGAATGATATTATAATCGAAATCTTTTCCTACATTCTTCATCATGCAGATAATAATTAGTAGATTTGTTAAGAATGGAGAATTTGATGAATCAGATACGTTGGATGGGGTGGTTGTATCCATCACGGTTTGAATGTCCGATTTAGCTTGGAAAATGTTTCTATGGATATTCGGATGGGCAAATTGTAATGCGAGGGATGAACTGAGTGGGATAAATTGATCAGTAACCGAAGCACTAAAAGTAACTTTTACATTATTTTTCATTAATATCTTCATTGATTCATTTAATTGTAAGGAAAGTTTTGAATATGGTTTTTGAAATTCAAATAATTCTCGAATTATTTCATTTTCCATAGATGTAAATGCTCTAGTTACAATTTTTGTATCCAATCCCATAAATGGACCTAATTGTAATCCTGACATTGACAACAATCCCAACTTCTTCCAATAGTGCCAATGCAGATGTTCATGCAATAACTTGGCCATTAAATTAATCGCAACTGGAGTGGCTTGACCATGACTTATAAAAAATATGAAATCACTCTTATCTAACATATCCATCCAATTATCCAATAATTTATACAACTTCTCTACTCGCTCATTTATTTTCCCTTCCCCTTCTAATGCAATTGTTTCTATGTCATAATCCGAAATCTTAAATCCAGGATTATCTTGGCTCAACCATTTGAGTACTGCTTTTGAAGCATGAGTGGCAAATCGAATAGAATTCCCCGTGTTTTGTCCAATAATTGCCCTAACAAATTTTGTAGGTAGGAATCCATGAATGGAAATTATGACAATCTTGTTTAACTTTCTCCGTTTATTATTTCGAATTTCAATTAAGGGTTGTTTATATAAATGATTTTCTTTCTTCAAACTGCATACTACATCCTGAGATAATATTCTTAACTTCGTCTTCCATGTTCTTGTTCTGTAGTTATCCTCAAAGTGTGGGGCCACTTTTGAACTTAGTTTTGGTGTTCCGGAAGAATTACTATTTCCTTCTAGCATTGAACTTGCCGATGAACTGCCAGGTCGATTACGGAGTGATTTCTCTTGTACTTCATTTGGCAACAATGGCTCTTTTCGGGAATGATATCGCACTGGTTGGGTTTCAGTCATGGTTCCAACAACGGCCAATTCAACTTCTTTTGTATGCGTATTAATATGATTTGTAAATGAACTTTTGAATGCGTAATGAGAAACCTCTTTTGCGGTTTCAATTGCTTGCTTGGCAGCTTTAAAGTATTGTAGATTTGAAGTATGCGATGCATCATACTCATCTTCATTATCTCCATTATCTCGTGTCCAAACCCAATCCCACCAAGATTGGCCTGTTGGTTGCTGTTGTTGTTGAGATGCATCTGTAGTGTTGGAGTTGGCTGAAAGTAGCGGAGTTTGTTCTGTAGGGGCAACCTCTTGGGATAGATTATTTACATATGCAACTACTGAATTTATAGATTGGAATTGACTCCACCATTGACCGGATGTGTCATTAGGGTTGTTTGTCTCTGGATCTGGTTCTTGTGGTTGAGGTTGAGTTTGGGGATTTGGTTGTTCTTGCGGTTGTTGTTCTGGCTCGGGTTCAGCCTGATTTTGATCCTGGGTTGGTTGTTCTTCTGTCGTGTTGGTACTATCTGCTACTCCATTGATATCATTCTTAACTGTAGATGACTCTTCATCTTCTATAATTGGAGATTCGTCAACTGCTGGTGGTTGAGTTGTTGGTTGATTCCAGAAGAAAAGAGTTGAAAGGCGATTAGTTGAAGTTGTAGTTGTAGTTGCTAATGTAGGTTCTTGTGGGATATTAGGTTGATCCTGTTCTTGGTCTTCGTGTTCTCCATTCTTTTGTATACTTTGAGGTGATTTTGAGTCTCTTCTTAATGCAATTGCCTTACATTCTTGATTGCCATTCAGATGCTTTAGTACTGATAAGCCAGTATTGTTGCCTTCGTCGTTAACTTCGTCATTGTTGTTCTCATTCTCATTCTCATTGTTATTGTTATTGTTGTTGTTATTGCTATTGGTATTGGTATCATCTTGGATAGCAGTCATTTGGGACCCAATCTCTTTTAACAGTAAGTTTCACAATCTTCAATAAGTTTAATGGTTTAATATGTTGTTAAGAGAGAAGGATCATATAAATAACAAAGAAAAAAAAATAAATTATAAAATTGTAATTAAGATTTTGAATTATACGATCATACACCCTCTCGTGTCATTTTAATTGATAGAGAGATATCCACACACATAAGAATAATCAAGAAATGAGTAAATCCAATTGGAGTGAAGAAATATTAAACCGATTGAATATAAGAGATACATTTGAATCACAAGACAATAAATATTTTATTGCTTTCCAACGATTATCTCAACAATTAGAAATTCAAAAGCTACAACAACAACAACTGCAACAAGTGCAATACGAGAGTTCACCTTCTCCTTCATTAACTTCTCCTAACTTAAAACAAGAAGATCTAGATCGAGGAATTATCTTAAAAGAAAATCAACAATTAAAGAATGAAAATAATGATTTAATATCAAGTTTAAATACTGCTACAATTAATAATGAAAAATTAGAACAAAGAATTAAACATGATTCTTTAACAATAAAATCATTAGAACGATCGAATACAAAGTTACAGAATAAGATTGAGAATTTATTGCTTGAAATAAAAGAGAAAAATAAAACCATTGAATTGATAAATGATGAAGTATTAATGAATCAAATTCAATATAATGTACTTAAAGATAAAGTAAAATCACTTGAAAAGGAGAATTTAAAACTCAAAAGTTAAGCCTTTATTTGGATATCATTTATAAGAGAAGCTTAGTATCTCAAGCTCGGTTATATCCTTGTGTTGTCATTAGTGGAAAGTTGTCACAACGAAACTAGCCCTTCGTCGAAGTTTACCGGCAATACTACTCCTGGTTTTGGAGGTGGCAAATATTTAATGAATGAGCTATGAATCAACTGATTATGGATCCACAACAGCACATAATCGTCTGCATTTAGTCAATAGAGCACATGATATCAGATATGGTACACCGAGTAAGGAATTGTTTCACGGTGGCGAATCACGAAAATTGTTTACACCCATACAAGGATAGAATTATCTACAAGATAATAAATAAAACATTTGAATGTATAAATTGTTTATTATTTATAAACGGGAGAAATTATAATTAGATGTAATAGATTAGACAAGTTAGATAGAAGTAACTAATTAAGGAGCCCCCGATGATTGCAATCACAAATCAATACCATTTATACCTACAGCATAACCAATTTGGTAGACTTTATTTGATTTTGAAGCAGTTTCAATATCAGAATACCTTTTGCTTTATATCACCATCTTTTATTGGAGTTGTTTTATATGTGGNATATTTTGAGTTCTTCATTATTGAACTGAAGAGCTGAAGAAGAGAAGAAGAAGAATCCATAAAAAGATGAGCAGCAATTTGCTGACGTATTTATAGATCTGAATTTATGTTTTATTTTTTTAGAATTTCGCCCGGTATGAGTCATGCAAAATAATCAATATGTAAATAAACAACTCAGCCATGATATTGTAACGTTAGTCAAAGATGGTTTCCAGATGACTCATATTTATGTCCAAATTATAAACAGAGTGAGTTTAAGTTTTCCAAGTGATAGATTATACCGTCAAGGGGTGGCCCGTTATAAATAAATTGATTGGTTGACTACCCAATCAGGTTTGTAAACCCCCAAGTCAAAGTCGGACCAACCTTACAGGATTTACAGGAAATGGAAGCGGTCGCATTGCACCCTTTGATTCCAGCTTCCCATTCTATAGTATTAGCAACATTAGCTGTAAAATCCTAGTGTTTGCAATATGGTTAATACGAAAAGAGATTGATTGCAATTCTACTTAGCTTAGTTAATTCGAGCTGTTTAATAGATAACATTATCTAATAGATTATCAGTTATTGTGTTGCCTGTGGCATGTGTCTTCCATTGCTATTCCGAATTTTGCTTCTTTCCTCCTAGTTCCTAACAAACTTTGGTAGCCAGACGAAATTAAATCCTTCATCGCTACCACTTCAACCCTCCATTTTTTCCATTTATAGGCGAACTTCGGCGGCTCAAACTTTTGCTTATTACACAACCAATTTTATCCGTATCTCCGATCTAATTAGATGAAGTCATTGCTACATCTATTGGCTAGAAATTGATATTGATTTGAACAGTTACAAGATAACCCATGGGGCGTTAAATAACAAAAGCTTATATGCAGGATCGGCAAATTTTGACGGGTGGAAATGGAGTGTTTCAATTTTGTAAGAGGCAAAAGTTGTTACAATTGATTCTCAACATTGAAAACAACTCAACATGCTAAATTGCCGAAAAGGATAACTGAGTCTTGTTAGACCCCTCTTTTCACAAAATGAAAACATGTTACATGGTATGATGGTAGTCAGCCACCTTG